GTTCTTCATAAAGTTGTACGCGTCGTTAATACATCAGCCAGTACATTCAGATGCATTTGCATTTAAATACAGCCTTCGCCTTTGGAAAAAGACTGTTCTCTGGTTTTGATTGCTGTTTCGTACATGCTTTATCATAATTATATTGTTCAGTTTTGTGAGGGGCATGCAACCCAAACTCATTTTGCGCGCCGTAGCCGTAAAGCTCCGTAATCTAGCGAAGCAAACGATGGGGTATTATACATTTTGGGTGGATAACAATTTCAGCGAGCGCGACGACTATAAAACACCATATCAAGATCCGGAGCCAACAAGCACGCAAACAGCACATACTCAAAAGGTGGACTTGGATATTCAGAAACAGCGATTGTAGAGCCAGGCTTAAAAATGCACTTACACTCTGTGACATGGTCGGTCAGGATAGCAATAAGCTGCAATCTCTTCCGGCTTAAATGGAGCATGTTACTCGGACATGAAGACCCAGCAATACTGAGGCCTGGACAACAATGAACAAGCAAACACAAAAAAGATAAATATGATTAGAGTGCATTACAAATACATCGCAGTGTTTCACGGAGCAGTACAGCGTGTTGTACTACAAATATGTGATTGCTCACTTCGAATCAAGCTCGACAACGTTAGCGGAATGCACAGGCCAGCCTCTCGCGTCCTAATTAGGCGTCACACAGGCATCATTATTTCATTGACACACTATCCGAGGGGAATCCCGGCTCTGCAGCGCAACCCATAACGAACGCCATTGTCGGAACTGCTCCTGCGACACTCAAGCTCGTGTTTAGTTCCGGCAGCAAATTAATTTTGTCCAGTTTCTAGACCCAGCACTTTGTGTCCGATTCATCTTGCAGCACTGGAACACCTCTGGGATACGGCGCGCATGGAACTGGCCCTAGCCGAGGTGCGAGAGCGCAGCAACCAACGGCGCAACAGGCTCTTCTCTACTGGAAGTGCACCATCAAAACGCTTCCAAGAAGCCATTAAAAGGCGCTCGCCGAAAATTTGTCCCGGTGGCGACCGGAAGATTATCCGCTCAGATGTTGAGACAACACCCGGCCGCACTTGAACAGAGCCGGCGTGCTGCGGATCCGGAGCGGCTCCGTCCAGCGCGCACAGCGTTGCCCCAGCCTCATGGGCAAACGCGTCCGCTGGAGCTTGGTTGTCAGTGGGCCCCGTCGGGGTGGCTGCGCCGGCAGGGGATGAATTGGGGGAGCGGACCGCGGCGTAACGGCGCTACGTCGCCCAGAGACGGACCGGTCACGAGAGACCGCGGTCAAATGTAGTTCCACGAGGATAGAACCGGCATCTTGAAAGCCGTTCCACGAGGATAGAACCGGCATCTTGAAAGCCGTTCCACGAGGATAGGCATGGCCTGGAGGGGCAGAGGGAGGCAGAATACGCCGCCTCCCTCTGGCTCGGACGCGGCTCTCTGCAGTCCGTATTCTGCCGTTTTACCGGCAGAATACGGACTGCAGAGAGCCGCGTCCGAGCGACTGCGACTGGACGCCGAGGCTGGTGATGGAAGGACACGTCTGCCGCGCTGGGCACGCGCAGTTCACCTGCACCAGACTGGTGCCGGCGGTCCTGGTGATGAACTTGCAGTGCTGGTCAGCCCCGCACTGCGCCATCTGGAACAGCCAATCGCAAGTCCCATCAGACTGTCTCCTCAGTTTGCGTGTAGTGTGATAATATGACAAGCGAACGCGCAGTTGCACAGATATATGATGGGGAGGGGTGGGGGAGGAGAGCGGGTGTCGAGGTAAAACAGAGACTGCGCCTCTGTTTTTGCCGCCTCATTGGTCTAGGAGAAGTAGGCTGAGCCCGTTATCCAGTGCCACCGGACAGGGTATATATATATATATATATATATATATATATATATATATATATATATATAACATACGTACATATATCTACCTGCATATGTATACACACACACACACACACACACACACATATATATATATATATATATATATATATATATATATATATATATATATATATATAAGTGATTGTAAAGCCCCGTTCAGCCTGACTTGTCCAATCTGTTTGTTAGCGCGAAGGACATTGTTAACCCCTGATCTATAACTCACGTAGACACACAACCACATCTGCCCCATGAGGAGAGATTCTCGGATGCAGCCTACACCCAATATTTCAAAAACTAGAAATGACCAACTAGAGCTACGCCGAATTTACTTGTAATTGCTTAAATTTAATAGAGGCACGCGAAGGCACGAATTGGAGAGTTCTTGCCGAACACAACCAGCTAAGTTTTACCCGAACAACGGTGATATGACTTTTGATTTGGCAGAACAGGTCCAATCGGTCATCCCAGCGATCAACAAAACCCTCCCGTTATCTTAAGAACTAAGCACGCTACGGCAGTACAAATGACGACGCTGAACAGCTCCCGGAAAGCTCTGCCAGCTAGACAATGGCTGACAATGGCTGACAATGGCTGACATCGACACATGTGACCTGCGATATGTCGGGTCAAAGGGCTGAAGGCGATTGTTGGATTGGCACGTGCGGCTATATGTCAAGAGCTACACAAGCCGTATCAGTGGAGAGAACAGGGGTAGACAGGTCTTCATGGCTTTAGCAATACAATGATAAGACATAAGATAAGACAAGTATAATTGGTAACCATCCCCGTGGTAAATGCCATCTTTTCACTAGCATCTGACAAGTGGCAGCTGTCAGTGTTGCCAGATATAACAGCTTCTTAACTGCAAGTGGAAGAGCTTTGGCAATCGTATACGGGCCTCCAATGCGTAGGTGGACGATACTTGGCCATCGTGGTGCACATCGTGGTGGATACATAGCTGTTTTGTATGGACATTGCACTTCTCATCAGACATATTATTTTCAGCGAGCCACTTGATAGACCGACCATATAGCCCGGATGGCTCGCTAGCTGACGAAATGCTGGGGCAGAGTCTGACCGAACGTGTGTGCCAATTATATATGTCGTACGTCACGTATGTGAACGGCGTGGCTAGACACTCATCACACCCATCCTAAGGAATACCAGCATCACGGTATTGTGCACTGCCATATGAAACCCACGCGCGTCTTTCCAGCCCTTCCCAACTCACGGCATCAGCGAGTCATCCCCGACAATATCAATAACAGCAGCAGCAGCAGCAACAACAAGTCATGACAACAACAGAAAGAGGAGCATCATCAGCATCAGCATCAACAACAACAGCAACGCCGCACGCACCTTATTTCGAAGACACGTACACACTGCTGGTAATATCGGGCGAGTGCACAAGTCTGATGACGCATGAAGAGGCAACGTCTCCTGCATGTATGGTGCTCGTATGAGGTGCGCCAAGTTCGGGGATAGTGGCAGGATTGATTACGCGAGTGAACGGATATCCTGGTAAAAGTTCTGTTCCCGTGTGAGAACAACTTGGAAGTAGCAGAACATGGAACTTTGTAAAGGTCGTAGCTTTACAATAGTGTTAATAACTTTGCAAGAGCGGTGCTTCTATGAAGTCAGTGCGTAGGTGTGCCAAATCTGGATGTAAAGCCCAGTGCCAACGTTGGTCATAGGAAGTGCCGTATGATGCGCGTGAAACGTGTTAGGTGCCCTCCACCCTAGAATCACATGAGCGATAAGGTTCTGAAGCTTCCTGAGTTTGAAAACTGCGGCCGTTGGATAGAAGGGCTAATTGGCTAATTTTGGATAGAAGGGCTAATTTTGTATTGTAAATGCCACCTATTTTCGACTGAAGGCCACGGAAGGATGGGGGTTACTGTCTCTTTGAAAGCTGCTCATGTCCGTCGTCTCCAGCGACCTAACTCAAAGTTCCCTGTCACACGATTATCACAAATGATATCGCACCAATAAAGTGCGCAGGGATAAATGTTCCTGTGTAGTTCGCCGGGTCCCCAACTTTGAGGGAAAGATCAGTCAAATCCGCGGCCAACCAGGTTTTAGGCCATTTCGGGGATAGTGTCAGCCATTTTCCCTGCTCGGTGGCCTTGAAAGGGCGGTATTATGTAAGTGAGATACATTCCGGTAAGCTTCGTTTGCGGAGTGCGCCAGGTGGCGGTAGCATTCAGGGGTTGATGCTATGCTTATTCATTGGGCGTCATCATTAAAATGGAATTCTACGCACGATTTAAAACCTTGTGTTTGTGTGATTCGGTGGTCGTAACTGGTCCTCCAGAGGAGATGAGTGCAGAAATCCGTGCATTTGGTCAGTGAGGGACGTTTGCTGAGTATTTGCAGCATCAAAAGTTATTGCCTATTCTCGTGCATGGTCGGTAATGATGTTGAAGTCATAGGGCAGACAGTTGTGTACTGAGTCGATGTGATTGCTGAATGCAATGCCGAGCGATTTGTCGTTAAACATCACATCCTTCGGGAGATTTTCAGTGGAGTAATGTGCATGCCACATCAGGACATGAACGAACCAAGGGCTGATCGAAAAGGGCGTGGGGTGGGGGATACCCAGCATCTGTCGTGGACTTTTGCGGTGCGACGGTCTATCGTGTGTCATGATGCTGTCATGCTTTTTGGGGGGTATCATTCACGCCTTCTTTAAGTCATGTTAGTGGGCCAGGAACGTGGAAGTGGTGTTGATATCTGAAAACAGTCCGTCACGCTAAATGTTGTCAATCGGTTTTGGAATATTTACGTGAGGATAGACGTTGTGCCACATGCTGTATAAAAAAACATTCAGGTATTACAGCCACAGCATACGGGTTGGAGTTGTAAACCTCTAGAACGCGGCCTCTGTCCACGCGGTTGGCTTCGCCCTGCCGCCAGGTGAGCACCACCTCTTTAAGGTCGTCCATTAAGCGTTAAGCGATAGCCCTCACCTCGTTGCACACTTTCTTGGTGACGATGACGTCACTGTCCGCCAGCTCGCGCCACTGCGCGTCGGTCTGCTGCAGCTGGTGGCCGTCCGGGCAGCGGCAGTGCAGCAGCTGGTGGTGCGCCAGGCTGGCCGCCTCGTCGCGGAACGTCACCAGCTCGTCGGTGACGGCCAGCCCGGCCGGCGCGCACGGCGCCAGCTCCGGCGCCCGCTGGCAGTACTGCCGGCCACCGCACACGGTCAGACGCGGCACAGCCCGCGCTCTGTAGCGGCTCTACAGCGTGGCGCCGGGCTGACAGACATAGCACACATTTTGATGCATTATTGCAATCGCGTAAATTGGTTGTTGCGCTTTGTGATAAACAAAGCTATTGTTTTTTACCATTGCTATTGTTTTTTTTATTTGTTGCTCATTCGTTTTACATATCACGTGGTTAAACTACGTATAAAACGCTATTACATGCCATTCTGACATGTGTGACGGGTGAAGAATGATCACTTAGACTCTCAGACATGTTGACTCCTGTTATTTTTTTGAAATGGCTTACAGAGCACAATGATCTCGTTGAGGTCCAAAAAGGGCAAAAGGACATAGTGGATTATCAAACCTCATACCACGACGTCGACAGAAAACGTTTCTTACAAAGATTAGTTCTTGTTGACAACAGTTGCGTATCCGCCTCATTGGAGGGACACTACATCCGGGGTGAGAAGCCGGCGGTGTTCATGCAAGTCAGCAGCAGCTCGCGGACAACCGTCCCCATTCCATCGTAACGTGGGGCAGGATTGGCTGTCCGAGATTCGACCCGCAAAAGTTCCGTTTTTTTTTTTGAAAAAATTCTAGGATGTCTTTTTCCACAATTGCCTGGAGGTGGTCGTCAATATGCAACTGCCTTATTCAGCGACATTTTCAAGGTTAGGGCATGCGACAAACCGCTAAAACTCGAAGCCCAAAGTTCACAGAAGTGTGCTTTATATACCTTGTTTCATTCAACAACAGTTACATGTGTAATCCTTGGAAGGGACAATGCAGCCGAGCTCGTTAGTCGGTGATCTCAGCGCAAGGCGACATGGGCTCCGGGGCGACCGTCCGAGTTCCCCTATCCCCCGGCGGCTGATTGGCCGCCGTGATGCGGCCGGCGGCTGATTGGCTGTCGTGATGCGGCCGGCAGGCGCTCCGTTTTTGGGAACAGATGCTAGGATGCTGTTTTATGTCATGTTAATGGAATGCATTATGGTATTTGGAATTATTTATTGGAATTATATGTAATGAATTATAATATTATATTTTATATTATATATAATATATATTAAATGTAATGAATTATAGTATTATATGGAATGCATTATAATGCAACATGGTATTATTGCGGCGCATAACAAAGTTTTAAGGACTAAAATGATCGCCAACCAAATTGGTAAGACCTGATCTAAGCGCGCGGGTTGGGGTATTGAAACAATCCACGTCAAGCTGCTTTCGCTTTTCGGGCTGAGAACATTAGGAGGATCGGTTCTGAATGGAGCTGAGGGTTCGTTTTGGCTTTGGTAGTCCAGTCCTGGTGTAGTTAAGTCTGCATTATGTGTGCATCTTACATTTGTGTTCTTTTACAACTATCGGAATGATAACAGATGGCTATACCGATCCAAAAGCAGGCTAATACAGGTCGTTTATGCTTACTACAAAAGTCAAGTACCCCCTGGCTGAGTATTGGGGCGATATTCCAATATCCCGAACCCAAACGCTTAGATCTGGTTCTGAGAGTTATCTCCCCAAACAATGTAACGGTGGTCGTATTTTATATCGCCACCCACTATTACTGTACTTTACCGTTTAAAAAATATATTAGTCGACCAAGTGCGTTCGGCCTAAATTGGGATTGGAGCGAATCCATGTTTTTCATTCGAGACATGGGGCTGTGACATTTCTGTTCGTGTTAACGAACATGTGTTTATATCTGTGATTGTTGTATACTCCTTGGTTTGTGCGGGGTATGCGTAGCTTTACGAATTTGTTTCTAACTCAGGCGCATGTTTTTTGAAGTATGCGCCTACATCTAAAACCAGAACAACCTTGGGTATTTCACCACCGGGGACGTCCCGGGGTCACTCTTAATTTGTTTTTTGATGACGTAATCATCCGATGAGATAGATACAAACAAAAGTTGATTGTGCATTTTCTACTTGTAGCGCCATGTTGACACGTGGCACGTGACCGACGCGTCATATACTACGTATAGGCACATGCTACACATATGCCGAATTTACGCCAACACGGTGCCCGAATTACGCAGTCGCCGCCCGCCTGCGTGCAAACATTGCTACCCTTCGCAGACTGCGTGTGGTTTTGTAATTAGAGCTGTAGTCGCGAATTTTACATCAAAAGGTCGTTTATTTAAACAGCATCCTGAGAGGGGCTTCAGAGTTTTGTCGACTGTTGCCTTTCGAAACGGTGAGAGCCGACCAGGTGAAGCAGATCGCCCACTTCCTGGTGTGATGGCAAGACTAGTGACGACCCCGCTCGTACCACTTCTTCTCGCCAGTCAGGCTGAGATAGGTATTGTCAACGGTTATTTTCGGCAAGATGGCAGTCAAGCACTTCCACCGACGCCCATTCTACACAAAGGTGCTCGCACGTATAACCGGCACGTGAACTCTGAAGCAGCCTAACTCATCAGTGAGCCTATGAATTTTTGAGCGTACCCGACAACAGCCACAAATCACATCCACAGGACCACTAAAGATTAATGCGTTCGCCACAGAACAAAAGCCAGCAACCACACTACGTCACGCAGATTCTCCCGCGAACATTCATAACACTCACTCGAAGAACGCTCTGAATGTCCGGAACGTCAACTCTATCCGAGAACAGAACATATTTCCAACGGTCGCTCAAACGGCTCATAGAACAAAATACCAGACACACTACACCTACAGGCATCACGCAATAAATTTTAAAATGTAGCACATCCGCTTGCCACCGTCGAACGCATCACATACTTCTCATGCGGCTCAAATTTTGGAAACGTTCTTCACACACAACTAAGGACGGGCAGATTTCCACCTAAAGCTCTCCTTTCCACTCTACCAGGTTCAAACATGTGCTGTTCAGCACTATATCTGTGGTCACAGGTCCGAGACAGTAAATCATTGTTCGCCCTCTTATCAAAAACGTTCCGATTGCTAACTTGGTTAAATTTCCTGCCTTCCATTCCAGCCAGCCGTGGTGCGCGGATTTGATTCCCTTTAGGCGCTCGACAGTGGCCCCGGACCAAGATGGCCCGCGGCCGTTGCCAACGACTGCGCCTGGGGTCTGAACGGACCGACCGACCGTCCGTCATCAAAGGATAGGACGGATCGCCCGAGTATCGTGACACGTTAGGCTTTCGACGCCAAACTCTACTGTTTACTCGGAGTTTTACGATCAGATGTTGATGTCGGGCCTCGTGCAACAAGCACTGCTAGAGTGGGCGTCGATCCCGCAAGTCCATTCAGTCACAGGACTCGGAGTAAATCTCCAAAAGATCTCTTCAAGCATGTGACGCAAACTAGGCCAAAGTTCTATCGCCTGTCAAAACTGACGTCATGCACACTATGTTGCAACGCACAGACACCACAAAGATGACGGTTAGGTGCTCGCGAACGCTATATGGACTACATCATAAAGAGTTTAAAACTGCAGCGCGAGGCGGCGGCGACGGCGGCGGCGGCGGCGGCGGCGGCTGGCACTGGTGGAAATTCCGCGATCAAGTTTCTGCTGCGGTGTGTCTCTTCCGCCTGCCCCGATCCAAATCTAGCAATTCATGAATCACCTTTATCATGTTTGGAAGTAGCGCAGACTTCTGGACGTATATAGCCAGGGGTGGTTTTGAGGATAGCCAGACTGAGCATTGTTTAGCTGACAAGAGGCGTCCCAGTGTGCAATGTCTCCCTTCATTTTCCTGATTTGTTTTTTGTTGTTGTAATTTTCCTCTGTCACTACACTATTCTTCAATGCTTTCCTTGAAGCACGTGGATAGCAGTCTCAACATAAACGGCATAAAATCGTTATCCGTGCTCCATCTCGGGGATGTTCTGAATATGCAAATATACTCTGAACCGCAGCTCTCCATCAATTTAAAAATAATAATAAACTGAGGTGAAACAAACATAAACATAATTGATAAACGCGTCTTGAACAAATCTGGTGATAACTGGCCGGACACGGAGAGTCAGACCAGCTGGGGGCTGGCAGAGAATGTTACTGGTGATCAGCCCAGCCGCGCCCTTTACCTGAGAGTTGACGGATGTGTGGTCAGCGATAATGTAGGAGGCAGAGGTGCCGTTTTCTTGAAGTTCTTGTCCAACGTCCAATCCAAAGTGCAATACTTGTTCAGCTGCCCGTCCAATGTGTCAAAAATCGGGTTATCGAAAAATTCCTAATTTTGTGTATCAAACAGAACTAATTGCGACGCATAAGCCCGGTCAATGCTGGGATCCCTACATTACGTTTATTAAATGGAATGAAAAGAAATGAATGTATCTGTATCGAGTGAGTTGAGATGCATACCAATTTGCGACAAAACAGAATGAAATCGACTGCCCAAAACGTTCCAAAGATTTCCACACTTCTTCGTCTGTATTTATAAATTGGGCTCTGGAAACTTTAGAATTATATATATATATACACATATATATATGCATATATATATATATATATATATATATATATATATGCACACATACACACACGCACGGCACTCACGCACGTACGAACGCACAAACGAACGAATGCACGCACGCACGCACACCCGCACACCCGCATCCACACCCACTTGCGACGGATCAATGCGCCACTGGGGGAGGCGCAGTGGCGAGAGGTCGTAATACAGTGCCCGGCGGCTCACTCATTAGGCGACGTTGGATGCCTCCATAAAAGACGGGGCAGGAAGTCGCAGTAAGTTAGACGGCATCTCGTTAAACCGGGCAGCCGCCCGCGAACAAAGACGTCGCTTCCACATCTCGGTTCTGGTATTATAGGCATACTAGTCACCACTCTCGCTGGTTCTTTTCTGTCGAGTCTCTGCTGCAAGGGGCTACACACTGACGAGGGCCTCTGGTCATCCCACGCAGCGCACATTGTGCAGCTGTATCAGCGTGTGACCCCTCACTAAGCGCTCGGTCGGCGGCCGTTCCCTTTTTGAAGCACGTTCGATGCCCGGTCGAAATTTGTGCGTCAAAGTTTTGTTGCATTCTGGGCGTGCTATAAAGCACACCGTTACCGTAGGCAACGATGTAGTAACGTACCTGCGACAGAATTAAGGCGTCAACGAGAACAATGCCGACGCTGGGTTCGGGGAGAGGGGATGAGCAGTGGTTCCAATATTCTTAACTGGCCAAAATACCGAAGCAGCGTTGAGTGATAAGAAAAAAACGTGAGTATTCCCAACTGGCCGTGCGACCGAAGACTGCGCAACATTTGTCATACCCTGGCCGGAACTATATGTTGTCCGCGAAATTTGACGGTGAATTGGGTTAGGTAAAGCTCGCCTGACAAAATTTATTTATTTCGCGACAAAATGAGCTAAATTTTGTCTGCTTTGTCTTGAAGACCATTTAATTTAAATCAGTGGTCAAGGGAGGCAAGACCATATCCCAATAGCAGAGATTTAGGCGGTTGACCAAACTTTGGGTGCCCTTCGCGTACTGGACCACCATGGCGTTCTTTACGTACAAACTATGGTTGTTCGCAAAGTTGCAAAAGAACAGAGCCCAAAGCAGAACCCCGAAAGACGCCGATACTGTTAGGAGCCTTAAAGATATTTTTGGGACGCTCATATTGTCAGTCATGATGACACCCTGGGTGTGGTTTTAAAGGTAGGCCGAAAACCTAGGGGAGATTAGCCCGTGAGTGTAAAATTTTGTTAGGACTTTTGGAGCGGTCTGTCACATCGAGGCACATGCGAGACCGAGGAGACACACCAACGATATTTTTTCCACGGCTATTCGTGGAAAGCCGGTGCGGTTTCCATCGAGTGCCGAGGATGGAAACCGTGTTCGGTAGAGGAAGGTAGAGGGAGGTAGGGGGAGGTAGAAGGAGGTAGAGGGAAAACAGCCATTTAGCTTATGGTGCTCAGCGGGCTCAGCAATTTTGCTGCTGCAGGGGCGATGGAGACTGAAGGATAGTTCGAACGTGAGTAAGTCTCCGAATTTATGTCTCGCCTTGAGAAAGGGTTTTCGGAGTCCCCCTTAAGTTTTTCTCGAAACTATCACTGAAAGGTTTTGAATATGACGGTAACATATCGGCTAGCTGAGTTACATCTCATGCATACGCTTTGTCCAAATTTTACATTTCTGACCTCAAATCTCATAATCTATCATAGATATCTATGTCCTATAATCACGCTCATTCAAGGGCAATTTGGTCTAATATTGATCTTTAAGAGCAGTTTCGGTCTTTCAGAGAACATACCCTTCATAGTACATATCACACAGCCTTGAGAAGCTTTTCTAACGCTATGTACTCCCCTGATACGGTTTACTTCATGCTTGATGTAACTGACAAACTAATGAAACTTTCAGGCTTTAATGAGGCTTTCACCACTTCATTTTCTGACTTATTTTGCCGAAGATCATAATTACCCCTGCTCAGTCACGTCTATGTAGTGCAGTTTGACGAGAGATTTCTGATGCCGTTTTCTCCGCGCTTGTTTCTTGCCGAGTTTTCGTAGGGGGCTGTGAGGCCCACCGCCCTCGAACGGTGAAGGTGAAATAAACCGATGTATGGGGAATGAGTATTACATAAACTTTGGGGATGTTTCTAGGTCATTTCTGCGTCGGGGAGAGATTTGATGGAGTTGACCAGGTGGAAAAAAAAATCGTGCCGACGGTGTAAAAGCTGAGGTGGACGAGTGCTATGCACATGCCGTCTTCACCAAAGGCTGAGCAGCCGTTCACGCCCGACAGGATGGCCCTTAACCCCGTGAGGGGAGTGAGGGGAGTGGGTTTAGCGACAAGGAACAGCGCCCCACGTGCGGCGAGCAACAGAAGACACTGTACATCAATAACAGTGGAACATTTGGAGGATATCAGTGTCAGACACCTCAGTGTCGGATTCTAGGCAAGGGATTTTTGTTAAGCGGACTTTTGCGCCCGAACTTCTTCGTTCCCTTTCGATGTTCCTCTCGTGAGTACTTTGCATGAAATACTTCGTTCTCAGGATCTGACTCTAATGAAGGCGACTTCGCCGGTCTGCTTTCGTTGTCATTCTTGATTATGTTGCCAATTCAGCTAGCTATATAAGCATGTTCTCCTCTTCTTCATCCCAAGTCGACGAGACTGTGCCGGGCCATCATCGAGACGGACGAGACGAGACACCGGGTCATCATCGAGACGGACGAGACGAGACACCGGGTCATCATCGAGACGGACGAGACGAGACACCGGGTCATCATCGAGACGGACGAGACGAGACACCGGGTCATCATCGAGACGGACGAGACGAGACACCGGGTCATCATCGAGACGGACGAGACGAGACACCGGGTCATCATCGAGACGGACGAGACGAGACACCGGGTCATCATCGAGACGGACGAGACGAGACACCGGGTCATCATCGAGACGGACGAGACGAGACACCGGGTCATCATCATCGTTATGAGCCCCTGGGCGATCTGACGCATGACCATGACGACCCGATCCAAGTGCGTGCAGTTTCACAAGTGGTTTTAAGGTCAATTTCTGTCAGTCCAGTGCAGTGGGCCACTTTCAACCATTGTCTGGACCAAATTGGTCCGTACTCTATGTGAACGAAAAGGAGAAGGTTTAGGTGTTCTGCATACCGTCCTTTTCTTAAAAATTTATTTTTTATCACATCGAATACGTTTGGGCAGTTTTTGGCGCCCATTGACCGGGCATTTAAAGGAATATTAATGTTATTAAGTAGACTTTTGTTGTGTGAAGCCTTCGAGAACAACGTGAAGCATTAATGGCCTTACCCATAGTATCGAAATCTTTAATTTTTCTAAAATTCATCGCATACCTATAACATCGAAATCATTTTTGACCAGGATGTGACGGCTTGTACACGCCACAGGATACAAATACCACTAATTGCATTTGTTCACCTGGGATGGTTAGGAGGTTGTTCCAGAAAATGCGAAATGGTGGACTTTTGCGCTGCAGGCGTCAGAAAGCAAGCATCTTAAGCGTTTCATCTTTTGGAAAATATATATTTCATTGACTTCTTTGTTTTTGTACTCATCGCGACGCAGAACAAAAGCGCACCCTAAGTGAAGGCGTTCCGCGTGCTGACCTTGTACTGGTTGGAGCCGTGCGTGACGGAGCGACCGTCCTCCGGGTCCCAATGGAGCGGGCACGGCTCGCGGCCCATGCAGTTGCAGAACGCCTCGGTGTTGATGCCCCAAGCGTTGGCCTGGACCAGACCGCAGACGGCCGACCGTCGGCAGGTGGTGAGCCCGCGCTTCTGTAGAAGACGGACACAACCTCACGTCAGCGATAGACATCGCCTCATCTAGGCGGCAGGCACCACCTCATTTCGGGGACAGATACAGCCTCATCTCGGCGGCAGACACCGCCTCATCTCGGCGACAGATACAGCCTCATCTCGGCGGCAGACACCGCCTCACCTTAGCGGCTGACACCACCTCACCTTGGCGACAGACACCGCCTCACTTTGGAGACAAACGTCGCCTCATTCCGGCGGCAGATACAGCCTTATCTCGGCGGCAGACACCGCCTCACCTTGGCGGCAGACACCGCCTCACCTTGGCGGCAAACAGCACCTCACCTTGGCGGCAGACACCGCCTCACCTTGGCGACAGACACCACCTCATCCCGGCGACAGATACAGCTTCATCTCGGCGGCAGACATCGTCTCATCTTGGCGACAGACACCGCCTCACCTCGGCGGCAGACACAGGCTCACACCAGCGGCAGACACCACCTCACACCAGCGCCATGGAAAACACAGGCTCACACCAGCGGCAGACACCACCTCACACCAGCGCCATGGAAAGCACAGGCCCACACCAGCGGCACCACACAGGCACCCCACACGGCTGTCTGGTAAGACCCAGCTTACTGACATTCGGCGTGGAGTGATCGATAACAACTCGTGCCATACTGTGCTCATCCCGCACCCCACCCGCATACATAAGACATAATATATTTGTAGTACATAACAGGCATCACAGACCTGAGTCAAATTCGTTTGGTCAGTCATATTCCCGTTGCCTTAAGTCAGAATGCATTACACAAATCAGCACTAGAATTGCACGTGAAATAACTCCCGTTCCTCGGTACTCGAGTCTATGCCCTGGTGTCCTTGTTTGCGTCACTCAGTCTGTCCCCATGAGTGCCGCGCTGAGTGCCAGCCGAGCCCGTCAACACAAGGAATGGCACCACGTGGGGAAAACTTTGTACAAGGTCCAAGGTTCGTCATGTTACAACATCCAGTTAATCCGGATGCTGCTTTGGCACGCGATACAAGTGTTTCACGCTATCCTATCATTGCTCTGAAGAGGCCAAGGACGTATTATACACCGAATCAAAATGTGCGTATTTGATGCGGTAATGTATGGCAGCCTAAATTACGCCTTCAAAAAATCATGCCTGACACCCAGTGGAGCTGTTGGCGACCATGACTAGGAGGTGCTAGAAATCATGTTGAAGGCAAGTGTGCAGGAGTCTGCGGCGTATCCTATTGATTCGTCTGATATTTGTCTGTTTTAGGTATGAACCTTATCTCCACGCCGTAAACTTTTGTACTGCCTTAACACGGTTCCAACGACAGGTCAGTACCATTTGGGACAGCTTTACTATGACAGCCTTGACGGTCAGACCACATCAGTACAACATTGGCGAAATTCAGTGTAACAGTTTCGGTCTACATTGCTACGCCCGAAGAAAAGTTCCAAATTTGTGATAGCTCGGGTGTTCGGGGTTTGCTGGGGTTGGAAAACTGCTGTTTTGAATCAGACCTCTGGGTAGAATAGCATTAAAGGGGATGTTCCACATTCGAACACATTGAAGTAAGCACTATTTGTGTACTTTAAGTGAAAAAGACTGCTATTGACAATAACCTTCTTTTTTTGATACACATGCTCCTCAATACGTCATTGTTTGATTGCGTCATATCAGGTATACAAAACGTTGGGGTGCTGCCCAACTAGCCGTGCGAAATTGCAACCTACTTGCAGTGCCTGAGACTCGTTGATAGATTACAGCATGGGCTGGAAGCGTTTCCTGAGCCACACATCGTTCGGTGCTTTTGTCGTGATCCTTTCTCGTGCTGTTCTTGCGTATTTATTCGTGACTTTAAAAAGCTTACCCGCATTCACGTACTCGGTTATGGTGCTTCCATAAATTATTCGGCTGCGAGCCTTAGTTCCGTAGTAATTAGCAATCATGCGTAACTTCCTTTATCATATATCACAAAACGTGACACGTGACATTTAACATCAAGGAACAGCGGCCCACTCGCTGACTGTGCCCGATCGACAGTACCGTTCCTGATAGAAGCGGTTGCTCCTGCTGCGGCTTTCTGCCAAGAAGTCCTTTTTTCTCATCGTCGTTTTCGTTGCTGTTTTGTTCGCTCTTGGTCCATAGCAACTTTCACTAGAGTTTAGTTACTCTCTTCCGTTGACCCACACTAGGGAAGCGCGGAAAGCGCAAGAAAAATGACAGCGACACAGATTCGAACCCGGCTTCCAACATTGATACGCTATTGGATACAGACGACGGAAGTGCTGCCGGCCCCGCTTTGGCCGCAGCATCGCCTGATGACTCTTGCGCGCCCCAAACCATGATCGTCGGTACGCACACTTCCACCGCGGTGGCTAGACAGCAGACGTCTCCGTCCAAAGCTCCCGGCTCCGACCCTCGCTCGCCTTTGACCACTCCGGTGCCTGCTCGTCCTGATGCTGACCCTCGCTCGACAACGACCAGTGTTCGCCTGCCCTCTGGGCCAATGCTAGATCCTCTCGGATCGTACGCTGTCGTCCAACCTTGCGATATTTAATGTGTCTTTTCGAAAGATCAAAGTGTTCTGGCCACCAAAGCAAATTCAGGCTATCTGCGACCCATGCGACCTGAAAATCGAAGCACCGGCAAACGGATCACTCGTCATCAAAACAACCACTCGCGCACGGACCAGGGCTCCTCTCAAAACAACGGAATTCTGTGGCAAGCATATCAAAGCGTCTGTCCACCACGTCCGAAACCACAACCAAAGGCACCATCTTCGCGCCTGAGCTCCGTTTCATGACGGAGCAGGAGATCCCGGCGGAGCTCGGGGACAAAAATGTGTCATGTCCGACGTCTGACGACCTTCAGAGATGGCCAGCGTCGCGACACCAGCCTGTTTGTTCTCACTTTTGCTAACACCCGACTTCCCGAAACAATTACAGCTGGTTACCTCCGTTATGAAGTTAGAGTGTTCGTGCGAAATCCATTCAGGAGCCTTAAATGCCATCGGTTTGGACACGGCAGCAAGTTTTGCAAACAAAACCCCAGATGTCTCAAGTGTGGCGAGACCCCTCACGAGGAGTCTGCCTGTACATCACCTCAAAAATGTTTGAGCTGTGGGAGCGCTGATCATGCCGCCAACTCTTCTCAGTGTCCCACATGGAGAAAAGAAAAGAAAAATTGCTCTGAAAAGGCCGAGACAAGTGTGTCGTGTCCCGAGGCACGGGGCACTGTTGAGTCCAAGATGTCGTCACAGCCCAGCAAGAGATATGCACAAGTAGCAAAAGTCACAATGGTTACATGTGGAACACAAACAGACTCCATTACCCAGCTGCCTCCCCTGAAGCTCCTTACCGCTCGGTCCTCTGTCTCAGCTGAGTCGACCACGTAGACCTGGACAAAAAAAAAACACCATTGAGTCGTCCCTGGCTGGGCGTTCGGATGCCCGACGCCTGTTCACTCTCATCCCCAGGTTGGCCGGCGTTCGAGCCCGCCGGCTTTGCGTGAGCCGCATGCGGCTCAAGCCGTCCGGCGTCCCAGCCCTCGGGCTATGAACAGTCGGCAGCCTGGTCCCTCTGGCCACCACACGAACGTCACCCCCCCCCCCTCCCCCTTCCCCCCCCCCCCGCCACAACACTGGCCGTAACACGCCCGAACGAAGACCGCCGGTCTCGTACACCAGTGAGGGTGGCGATGAGACGGCCTCGGTCTGTCTCGTTCGGCCGCTTCCCAGCAACCGGTGGAGATGGGTCTCTTCATCATTAAATGTCCTTCATCTTACAGTGGAACTGTCGCGGTCTGGGCCTCGAAAAGGCAGACTGGACCAAATTGCAAGAGTTTTGTTCTGACAACCAGGATTGCTATGATTCACCAGAGCAGGAAGTTGATCTTATCACACATATTCTTCATTCTGCAGCGACTGCGGCAATTCCCCCGACAAAATTCCCGCCACGACGCCTTCCTGTGCCGTGGCGGACAGATGACAGATGAAGTTAAAGAAGTCATTGCGGGGCGTAAACGTGCCTTTCGCAGTTTTCGACGCAATCAAGGCATTTCTCATTGACTTGCCCGTAGCTCTGAGTGTGCACGAACCCGAAAAACCATAAGAGCCGCAAAACATTATTCCCGGCTACCTTTTTACGACAATTTACAGCAGCCACTCCGTTGAGAAAAATTTGGGGATTATTTCGTTCACTATCGGGCAAAAGGCCTTCATTTTCACTCCCAGTTATCAGAGCTAACAACGCTTTAATCATCTCACCGCCTCAGATTATGAACCCTCTTGCCCACAGCATAGCTCACTGTAGTTCATCAGATAAATACAAACCAGGTTTCATCGATCATGCATGGCTCAGTTTTAATTTCCCTCGGGCAAGTTTCTTTTCTGATAATGCAGAGACATACAAGGTACCATTTTCTTTGCCAAAGTTTTGTAACGCAATTAAATCCACCGGTAATACTGCAGTAGGCCAGGATGACTTACACCATTCTTTCTTAAGTCATTTATTCGACAACATGCTTCAGCTTATATTGAATAAATTTTCCCAAAAAAATTCAATGAATGAAAAAAAATCAATGACCTATGGTCTTCCCATGTTTTTGCAGACGCATGGAAGGACACCATACTCATCCCACGTCCAAAACCAGGCAAAAACACTCACGACCCAGCCAACTGTCGTCCCATTGCACTCACTAGTTGGCTTGAAAGACTCGTGGAACGCATGGTTGGAAAGCGCCTTGCCTAGTTAATAGATCATAACAAACTGATATCGGACCGACGATGTGGATTTGGACGCAACCGTACCACCTGTGACCATAAAATAAGTCTAGAAACGGGCATTCGTCGCGCAGTCCGTCAAAAACGCCAAGTCACAGCTGTATTCCTAGATATTACTCGCACCTATTGTATGATATCCAAACCGGCACTTATTTTCAAACCCTATAAGTTGGGGTTTAAGGGAAATTTAGCACATTACCTGGTGGGTTTTCTGGCGGGGA